ACAGGAAATCTACAATATCAAAGCTGTGTTTCTCATCCCAGTGGGCTTTAGGAGAATTGACTTTCAGCAATCTCCATCCCAGTTTCAGAAGGAAAAATCACATAAAACACATAGCATTTTGTCCCAGTACATCTTTATTTTTGTCACTACTACAAGAACCTAAAATTCACATGTAATACATTTGACAGAGGAAATAAAGGCTTAATCAAGAAATGAACAATATCTAGTTGAATGAAATCACTCCAGATTCTACAGAGCTCTTCTTAATTGCAATTCACATTTTTTGTTATTAAATCTATCTAAATGCAAAGCTACAAATGGCAGCTACTGGGCTTGAATTGCCTCAGCAGTGCTACTCCAGTTCCACAGGCAGAAACACAGCAAGCCTGGAAAGGTGCTTTTAAAAGGCCATCTATCTAGAGTGAGCCCTGGAGTTTCCAAAGCTGTTGAAGCAGGTTGGACACTTGTGTGCAAATGCCAGAAGAGTGGGGAGATCTGCTTAGCAGGAGGATGAGGAGAAATCCACTCTCCTCAGTTGTCAGAGGAGAGGAAAGAGCAAAAGCACTTGAAACTCTTCAGTGTAAATCAGCTGGCCAGGCAGGAGTGAAGAGTGTTCAGTGTCTTCAGGGGAAGGTGCTGCCTTGTGTCCTGGGTGGTGTCTGCCAGCAGCTCTGCCCCTGCTTGTTCCACCCCCTTGTGCTGCTGGTTCACATTCTTTCCTGCTCTCCTTGGGCTTCATTCCCCATGTCTGGAAGAGCAAAGAGAAATTTGAAGTACATTTAATGAAATTTAGCCTCTGAACCAGTGTTTGATCGCTGTGAGCTCACTTACCTCAGAAAAGAACCAATTTGATACTCATGAGGATATTGAAGGCGATGCTCTTTGCCAGCAAAACTCTCAAACCCAGCACAGCCATGGACAGCATGTTCACTCTCTGCTCTTCAGGGTCTGCTCAGTGACCAGAAAAGAGGGGAGAGATCATGGTCTAGGTTTTGGTGTTGTGACCTTGGCAGAAAGTGGGAAATGCACAGGTGGCAGTTTCAGGGAAAGGAAGAGCAGCAAAGGAACAGGCGAGAGAGAACATGGCAGCAACAGGGGAGCCCAGGATCTGTCCCTGTTGCTTTTTGCTTCCTGGGGCTTGTGTGTAACTGCAGGAGCAAGCTTGGAACAGCAGCTTGTGTCTGCTGAACGTGTTGTGTCCTGAGTCCTCTGCCCTGGAGAAAATACATTTCCATGCTGTTGTCCCCCAGAGAGCAATGTAACTTCATTATTCTTTTTGGGTAACTCACCTTGTGCTGAGGAGGCTGTGCTGCTGCAAATCCTGACACTGGCCCCTGTTACTGGTTCTTCAGCCTCCTCCTCTGTAGCGTGATAATGAAAAGGCATTTTTAAACTATATCCACCTTTTATACAGGATTTAAAGTATGTTCAGGTGGCATTTTCTCTAGGAACTTAAGGAAAGTTGGGGCTCAGGTGATCAGTCATTAACTCCAAAATTAATTTGAAGAGGCAATTTCTCCATGCAGTTGCAGGAAACAGAAAAATTCCTGCTTTGTTTTGGTTTTACTGTATGAAAGACATTCAGGACTACAACTACAATGGCACAAAATATAAAACATATTTAGTAAAAACACCTCACAACACCCCCCACCTTTAGTTTTTTCTAGGTTTTAGAAAGGCTGTTCCAGCTTGTGCTGCAGCAGGTTTGCTGCTCTAGGCTAAAATATTCAATCACAAGGAAATGTACAGTTTGAACAAATAGATTGTGTCTTCTCTCTTCTCCCCAAAAAAGGTATCTGAAAGTAATTAAATAGTTGAAAACCCATTTCTTTTAGATGCTTTGAAGCATCTTTCAGCTCTCCTTGCTGAAATCGCAAATATCTTTCTAATTTCTGCTGGCTGCCTGGGGCAGTGCTGTCCAGAAGGAGAACACAAAGCCCACAGGCCACTGTCTCCAGGAATAAGTGACATCTGTGCCACCAAACTGTACCTGGCTGTGCTGTTATGGCGCGGTTGTTGAATTTGGCCATGCAGGTCACCTCTGTGTCTTTTGTCAGCCTGACCACTTTAATTGCATTGTACAACCCCTCTGATGTCAAAATGGATGTGCCCTGTTCATAGACGACCTCCTGAGAGGGCATCTCCAAGCTGATGTTCTTTGTAGGGGAGTTCCTTGCCAAACAAGCTGCTTTCCCAGTGCTGTTGCCTTCTTCCAGTTTCTGTGATTTCATCACAATGACTTGAGGGTCAGAAGATTTTGAAATATCTGAAAGGAAAAGCAAGGTTTGGACAGGATTGATTTTACTGAAGTTTTGCCTGTCTGCTGAGTGACCAAAAACGCACATGTACTCCATCCGCGACTAATTTGTAACATTAACAATCACTTTTTGTGGTCTTTGTTTGTTTCTGCTTCTTCCAAAAGGTCAAATTAAAGACAGAAATGGGTATGGGGGCATATTTAATATGACATTTAATCTCATAGGATCCCAACTTCCTTTTGCCGAAGCCTGTGCTTGTAAATGAACCCTTGATTTTACAATGCACCTACAAACAAGAAGAGAACTTTTATGAATGCCACTCCAAGAGTCCACTTGTTCTGCTTTCTCAGCAATTTAATTTCAAAACATAACAATTCTATCTGGATTGCCTTGCATATTCATAAGACATAAATGAATACTGTTTTTTATTTTACTCTCCCTCCCAGACACCCAACAGAAATTGAACACATTAACTTGGTTTGACCAGTTCAGTTGAATCCAAACTCTGAACAACTTAGTATGATTAAACTAGTACAGAAATGTTGTGTAAGATTCTATTTTTTGCTTTTGTACATTACCCTTCTCTGCTATCAGTGTTGTATTTTAACTCTGACACAAGAGATAGTCTTAGGAACTTGTATGCCAACTTCCACAGACACTTTATTTCCCTTTAGACAGTCCAAGTGTGACTTTAGAAACCAACAATGACTATTAAAATCTTATTAAGAAGCCTGGATAAGTGGATAGATATATGTCCCAAAGAAATTCAGAATGATAGCAGACAGAACTTCCCTTGTGGAGTTCAAGTTCTTTGGCAACACTGAGAAGTGAGATAAGAATATTTTTATATAAAAATTGTGTAGTTCCATGCAAAAGATTACACATAGGAAGTGAAATTAGTGACTGAAAAAACATGAGTGTCTGCATAAATTTTAGGGGGAATAAAATATTTACAAAGGGGGAAAATGAAAGAGTAGCAGCTCAGAAAATGGTAATGCATAAAGGGTACCTACTTGGCTCCACGGTCAGTTGAGTTCCATTCCCAAAAACAAGAGCAGCAGTAACACACAGTTAAAATGCGTAAATCAAAAAGGGCTCATTTTGCTGTTCTTCCTCTGCACATTTCCTTCCCAGCTGTTGTACCAGGCTTGGCCAGAGCCTGTCAATCCTGTGCATTCTGTGTTCTCTGAGAAAACCTTGAAAGGCTTTTCATGTGGTCTCCTCTCCAGGCTTTCCAAACAGCCAGAATACAAACAGGCTGCTTCTCTGCAATAGCTCCCTGGGCAGGATCTTCAGCAAGCAATAATGTACCCAGTGCAGTTGTAGTTGAGAGAGCAGAAGATTTGTTTTATCTGACCCCAGAAGGCTCACCCCAAGTCCCAGTAGTTTGCATTACTGAACAGTACATCCATTAATTCCTTCCACTGCTTGCTTCTGGGAAGGGATTTGCGGTTTATGTTTATGTTCAAATTTATTTGGAGAAAAATTTGTTCTTCTCCTTTGCTTTCATCTTATAAAGTCACAGGAGGAACCCTATATTCCAGAAAGTAATGGGCCTTAGCATTCTTAATGAATATTTTAATCTGGAATAATCCAACCTGAACCAAAAGGAAAGCATTCTCGGTCCTTAACTGAGGCCTCAACAGAATATGCCTGGAGTATCCCACTGTGGCACTAATGCTTGCTATTTTATGTCATTTTGATCATGGGGAATTCTCAAAAGATTTGGATAATAAAGTACTTGTGCTGCAAACACCTTAAATGCATTTTTGTAGCTCCCAAAGCAATTCAAAATCAAAAGTGGGAGGTTGCTCATATCCTGGAAACTTTGGATTCCAACTTATTGAGTATTTCAGCAGTCTCAAAAGGGACTTTGATACTTAAGGCCCAACATCTTTTACCATCAAGCATAATACCAGAATCTCTGTGCAGCTCTGAATATATCCTGTATTTAGCTAGAAAAAAGACAATCGTTGAACAGCATTTACAGAAGATGTCTCTCTACAGAGTGATAAGTTTGTTTGGTGAGAAGCATCTTTTTTGTTCATCATGGAATTCCAAAGAAAGATAGGAATAATTAA